GTAATAATTACATTGACCGTATCCCAATACATGAACTATTGTTGCTAAATTGAAATGTTAGTTGCAAAAGGAGTTCAATTGCAGATGATTCTGTTCGACATGATTAACATGATCGTCAAAGCTTTGGCATACTGGGAAATAGCCATTTTCATAATCTTATGTAAATACATAATTATAATAATAAGAAAAATTAATTTTCTCTTAATTTAATAAAAATATATGTTTTACATGGTATGTAAAACATTTGTAAACTTGTATTAAAATTTTTTGTATAAAACTTAATAATTTTAACATTATAATTAATTTCAATGAATTTAAATAATATTTTGTGAAAAAAAAAGCTTAAAATTATTTTTATTTTAATAATGACTTTAATGCCTTAAACTCATTTAATAACATAATAATATTATAATTTCAATGGATTGTATATACTTTAATATTAAATCAAAAATGATTTAAAAAATTGATAAAAACAGTAACAAAACAAACAAATTATTTTTTGGTTTTTTTTTTGACTAGATTCGATTTTAATTAATAATTATGAGGGACCTTATAGGTACTAATTTATTACAATTAAATATATATATATATATATATATAAATGTAAATAATAAATATATATAATAAATTTTATAAAATCTTGAAATCTTGATCCAAGATCGGATAATTATGATTATTCAGTTCTATTCTATAGTTTTCAATTAAGTTCTGAGGTGGAATCGCAAACGCAGACTGCATTTTCAAAAATACCAATCGTGATTGGTTCAAATCCTGATTTCAAGATGTTTATTTTAAAATTATTTCACTGTTATAATGAAAAAATTAAAAAAAAAAAAAACAATAAAAGGTTCTATATAAAATTGGGTCTAACCTAAATTATCATTTTTGAGAATATTGATTTTTTAAAATCATTCCTGTAGGGTTATACTTAAATCTTAACAGAAAATAAGATGAATTTATTGTAGAAGTTTAATAGATTGTTTTATTTTATTATTTTATATATGTATGTCAATATTTTTCAATAGATTTTATTTGATTCATATTTTTAATAAAAATTTAACAATTTTCTCACAATATTTATAGGTGATTTTTTTTATAACAAAAATGGCTAATGAACAAAAGAAAAAATTATAAATTATAAGAGAAAAAGAAGTTACATGTACAATAAGGAGGGTTTATCTAAAAATTCAAATTTTAAAATATTTATTTGAAACAAAAGCAAACACTGTAAGTCAAGCCCTATTTATATTGAAGTCAATAATTAATTACTTTTTTATTTTTATTTTAGCAAACAGTATTGGAAAATGTTTATTGTACATCGAACCTCTTCAAATATTGTTTTATACTTATACTTGAGAAATAAGGATGGAAACGGTTTTTATACTTTTTCAACTTTTTAAAAAAATTTACCTGATATCTATTTATATATTAGTTTTAATGAAAAATTTTTGTATTTTCTGAAAATTAAATTATTATGTATTCATATTATATGTTATACAGAATGATGTGTCTCTTTTATTAGAATTACAGAGAATTTATAATATTTTTACTATATAAATTTAACAATTATGTATATACACACATGAATTATAGTGTATATAGTGATAAACTTCCATACAAAACATTCTTTCAAGAAATCTCAGGGGAGCATCTAGCAATTAATTTATTAGATCCGTTTAAAAATTTGTATGATGAAAGCTTATCCATATATACTAGTAGAGATACTACATATATTAGTACTTTGCTATGTGATTGTTTTAATATTTATATAAGAAGAATTCACTAAAATTTTTATCTGTAATTTTCAATAATCTTAATTTTTGTTACTACTTTTATTGATTTATGTAGAATGACATAGAATTTAAGAGAAAAAAATGTTATTTTATAAATGCTGAAGACACATCATTTACACAAGTTAAGTTGTTAGTTTTATAATTATTTTATATATAAGTTACAGGAGAAAATATTGAACAAAATATTCCCTATGTGATTCCATTTATTGATTTATTAGTTTTCTTCTTATTTTGTTTATATTTCTATATGCATTTAATATTTTTATTTAAAATATTTATGTATTTTAAATCTGTATTCCCGTATTATATTGATTTTAATCTCTAGAATTGCTAATAATTTTTAATTTTTTCATTAATTGTAATTTAAAAAAAAAATATTTACATTTCATTTAATTTATTCTATATTTTATATTTTATAAAATACATTATGTAGTTTTTTTTTTTAAGAATATTTATATAATGTATAATTTAAATTTGAAAAATATAGATTATTTTCATATGTCCTACAGTTTTTAACTATTATTATGCTTTTGTCTTTTTTAATTTTTTTTTTAATTTCAATTAAGGTCCCCATTAATTACGTACATAACATTTATTAAATTTCACGTATACAAAAAATAAATATGTATTTTATTTATTTACTTGATTTTAAAATTGTTTTTTGCATTTTCTTTTTTAATATTTTTCCTTTATATTTTAAATATAAAAATTTACATTTTGGAAAATAAAAATTTTCATAATATCTTTTTGTTTTGTTCATGATTTCTCTAAATATCTTAATAACTAAAATTTTTACTCGAGGAAAAAAAACAAAAAAAAAACAAAAGATTGCATTTTTTTTTATTTTAATTTATCAAACGTGTTAATAATTTTACTGCTTTCATCTTTAAAACATCATTTAACAAATATTACAATATTATAAAAGTTGAGTTTTTAGTTGAGCATTAAAATTAATTATGTATTATATTTTTAGAATAATTTTATTCGTTGGATTCCATATATTGTTTTTTAAATATTTTTAATGAGGAAGTGTAGATTAAGAAAGAAATTAAAATTTTAATTTTGCCATATTGTGTTTAAATAATATTTAAGCACAATGTATATTATATTTTTTTAATTCATCTATACTGATGAACCCGGCCAATTGAAATTTGTAAACAACCTTTAAGTTTATTGGAATAAGAACGCTTCATAATTAAAATTATTTAAAAAAGTAATTAAAAATAATATGAAGAAGCTAATTTCATTCCGTCATTTCAATTCGAGAAATTGATATTATTCATTATATCAATAAATTATTTTATAGAATATTAAAACAAAAATAGAAAATTATTTGTGCAATATTTTAATTAGTTTTTGTAAGAATGATTCTTTTAAGCTAATTTAGTAGTTTATGATTAGTTATATCTGTAAATTATAATTTAATATTTAATTTAAATTGAGCGAACTATAATTCAAAAGTTAAAATATAAAGTTTGTTCATTTAATTTATATATTTTAATAATGTAATGCATATGAAAAATCAGTTTAAAACAAAAACAATTATTGAATCTCTGAAAGCCTGAAAACTTTTTAATTTTTATATAAATTTAATTACAATGATTGAATTTAATTATTGCAAAAATCAATAAACATAAAAATTACTGAATAACATCAAATAACAAATATAAAATGACGGCATTTTAAAGTTTATTTTATTTCAAATTCTTTTACATATTTTATTTTATTATGTTTTATAATATTTATTGAAATTTAAATTTGTATTTATTTTATATATGTAGGTCAAAGATAAAAACTATTTAGATGAAATGCTAATTATTATAATAATTTTTTTATTATATTTTTAATCTAGCATAATTAATATTCTGGGTTTGACAGCATTCTTATATTTCTTTTAAACATTTTAATACAATAATATTGTTAAACTTTTTGCAAAAAAATTTTTTTTCTTTAAAATAAAATTTTGCAAATATCAAACATATATGGATTCATTTTAAGAATAAAAAATGATAATTATTTAACAATAATTTAAAATTAATAATTTTATAAAATTTTAATTAATATTTTTATATAATGTATATTTATACAATTTAATTGTTTTTAACATTTTAAATTTCTAATACTAAATATTAAAAACTATGTATTTAATAAATGGGGTTTTTTGTAAAAAGGTCTAAAAAAGTAAGTAAAGGCACATTAAAAAACTACAAAAAAAGAAGAAAATTAATAAGAATTGCAAAAATATTTTGAAATATTTTAAATTTTTTTTTTTACTTTTAGGAAATTATAAAAAAAAAAGAGATCATATGGGTTTGAATTTGGTGTAACTACACCAAAATATCAGGTGATAGCACACTTAAAGGATAAAAAACCTTAGCGCATTAAGATTAGGTATAAATTGTACGTTGCTTCATACAGGATTATTAATAATTATTACAAAATTATATAATTTTATTTCTTCCCAAAGGAAGAAAATTTCACTAAAATTCGAATTTTTAATATTTGAAGAATAGTGTTTTTAAAACAATGGAATGTTGAAATTAAAAAAAAAAATAATTATGAAAAAAACAATATTTTTTCTTCTTCCAATCGAATATTAATTAAGGGTATTCGGCTTTAATTGAACATTTTTAATATATCATAAAAATTTAAGAACGCTGTCTATTTAAAAATTTTTTCTATATATATATATATTGTGATAATATTATTATGTATTGAATTTTAGAAAGAAGAATTTATCTATATACAATTTATTATATATAATTTTTTATTTAACAAAATTTTATATTTTAAAACATAAAAATCCTAAATAACTAACTACAATAAAATACTATTAAATCGAATAATACTGGATTTGAAATACTTTCTAATTGTTGGATTCTCTTTTGTTTTCATTTATTGTTATTATTTTAAGAATAATACTATATGATTAATACTTATAACAGTTGCTTTTTAAACATTTGTTTGTCTTGTTGTTTTTCTTTTTTATTTTTTGTCTCATAATTTTAATATATTAAATATTTCTTAAATTTTTAAATTGCTTTCTACTATTGTTTTTGGGTTTTTTGTAATTTTTTATTTTAATTTTTTTTGTGATTTTTTTTTTTTTGGTTTTTTTTTTTACAATTTTATAGTTTTTTTTTTCTTTTAATTTTTTTTATTTGGTTCATTCACTTGGCTAATTTATAAAATTGATCACATATGTACATAATGGCTAAAGAATCTATCTTTTATATCGGCATGTTTTATTTTACAATGAGCTTTCATATTATCTCGACGTGTAAATTTTTGACCGCAAACAGGACACTCATGACTCTGTGGTCTATGTATATTTGCATGATGCCATCTATTCGAAACAATTTTATTACAGCTAACACATCTGTAAAGTGTTGGTAAAGTTCCAGATAATTGTACAAATAATGCTGAATAATCTATATTATGATCACGACGATTTGCTGCCGCTGCAGCTGCAGCAGCTGCTGCTGCGGCAGCAGCAGCCGTTGATGTTGATCCAGGTCCAGGTGATCCTCGGCTATTTGATTGATGATGTTCATTTGTAATAATTGATGAATGATGTTGTAAATGATGTTGATTACCAGATTGATGTGCATTATGCGGATATAATTTCAATGGGGAATGATGTTGTATATTTGAATTATTGTTATTATTATTGTTATTATTAATATTATTGCTGTTACAATTATTATTGCTATTTTCATTATTATTTCCTTGTAAATGTGATGCCACCGATGATGATGATGATGCTGGAGATAATGGTGTACCAGAAATTGTTCGTATACGTCCACTACGACCATTTGTGGGGCTCACAACAACAGTTCGGTCGTTTTTTACTGTTAAATGAATTTATTTTTTTTGAATTATAAATTTTTAATTTTTAATTGAAACGTAAAACTTTGTTCATATGTATTTTGTATTCATAATTAATATAATTTTGTATTTGTTTTTTTTTTGTTTTTGAAGGGGAAATCCTGTGATTTATAATTATATTTCTATTCCAAATTTAATGAGAATTTCTTTATATACTTTAAATAATTATGTAATGATAAATTTGGAAAAATAATGATATAATTTTTAATAATTAAAACTATCACATGTAATAATTAATTATTTGTAAACAAAATTATTTTTCGAATTTCTCATTTAAATTGAATTTGATTTTTATTAAATAATTAAAAAGGACTAATTATAATAGGCTATATGATTTAAGTTTTTGATTTTTTTAGCAGCAAGCACATTCTAAAAAATTTAGTCTATTGGTATTTTTGAATAATAAATATATATTATGGTGTTTTTGTTGTGATGATTTAATATCATAATGAGTATAGGAACAACAAATTATTATTAAAAACCAATAGGATTTATAAAAACTCTAACATAATTTTATTCACTTTAGTTTTTACTTTTTTTTTTAAACTCATAATTTGTTAAACAACAACATCACTAGTTCAACTATATAATTTTTTAATAATAATATTAAAAAATCACAAAAATACTTTTTTCAAAGAAATTTTTTAATAGAATTTTGAACAATTTTCAATTTTATTTGTATGATTTGCTTGTATGATCTGTTTTGTATGATTGATTTATATGACGTTTCGTATTTTTTGTGATTTTCTAATAGAAGTAATCTGATGTTTCCTTATTTACTTCGAATAAAACTGAAATAATAACTTAATTTTTCAAATTTTTATTAACATAATTTTAATTAATTACAAAATTAATGTGAGAATACGATTTACTCAAATTCACTTATATTTGAATTGTTGAAATGAAAAAATATTTGACAGCAGCATGTATGTGTAATAAGAATGTACATTTAAATATATATACACAATAAATACCATATACGAATTTCATCTCATATTTATGCAACTTTTGTGAAATGAAAAATTAAGTTTTTATTTCAATTTCAATATGAAATGTTTGTAAAATCTTTTTTAAATAAATCCTTGATTTATATCAGATTTATATAATTATGTAAGTATATATATATATATGAAATATTAGAATAATCGGTATATAACAGACACAATCATCTACGTATTAAAACTTTCCAAATAATTATATTGCATATATATAATATATGTATATACATATATATGTATTTATATTTATGTATGAATGAATTTATAAATATATATATATATAAACATACATAAATACATATTAATATAAAATATATATATTAATTAAAAACTAATTTTTCATCTAAGTTCAAACTCAACTCAAAAAACCAAAAACAATAGCATTTCTCTTGGGCTAAAAATACAAATGAAAATTAAAATATAACTTGTAACAATATAACAGTTTTGCTTATGGGAATTATTTATATTTATTTTATTTATTTGTTTTTTTTTTTTTTGGGTAATAATTCGTAAATTTAATATAATTTCAACTTCAAAATTACTCAAATACAAAAGAAAAAAAAAATCATAAAAATAGTAAAATTATTAAAATTATAATATAACAATCTATTTAAAAATTATAAAAAAAAATATATAAATAAATAATATATAAACAAGGTACATAATATATAAAATGAAATCAATTTATAAAAGAAGTATTTATATATAAAAAAAATTCAAGATATAAGGAACAATATCTTAATGTATAGAGGAAGATTATGGAATGGATTAAAACAAAGAAACAATTTTATAATGCTTCAATTTTAATGGGGTGAAACAAAATCAGGCATTTCAAATTCAAACAATGTGTAAAAAAATAAAAATAATAATTGCCATTAAAAACAAAAATTTACAAATCATTTTTCTAAATTCTAAACTTAAAATTGAAAATAAAAATGAAATTAAAAATAATAAAATTAAATTATTCTCCAAGTTTTTCTTTTATTATAATTGTTTTTTTTTTTTTTTTGGAGTCTAATTGCTTAAATGAGGGAAGCAATATAGGATGAGAAAGGAATAGCATCCGTTTACATAATAAAGTTATGCGAACAGTTCTTTTCTTTTCAATCTTTATTTTTGAATATAGCAATAAAGATATAAAAAAATTTGTTGCATTAATTTAAAGTTCTTATACAATATATGACAGTTTGAATATAATATGACATTTAATATATGATTATCAATATAATTGTCAATAATTGTCAATTATTTTCAATATTTCCAACTAATTTGAAATTCCATTTTTAAAATGCAAAATCAATAAATTCAATTAATAAAGTTTACTTTAAGGAATAATTTGGCATTTTCACAATTTTACTCTATATTTTGGAAAAGGTTTCTTCGAAATGAAATCTGTTTTCAGTAAAATTTTTTATGAATTCCTTTTTAAATTGGTTGAAATTCAATATAATGTTGCCAATAATATGATAATAAATTAACTTTTCATATTTTATAAATGATCTGTTCATAATTATACCTTTATTATATTATAAAGTATATATATGTACTACCAAAACAATAATAATAATAAAAACAGTGAAATTATATAATTAATTAATATTTATAAATATAAAAAATAAGGGAAAGAAAATTAAATTATATTTGTCATAAATTAAAAATTTAAAAAAAAATATATATATAATTAAATAAATAAATTAATGATATTTAAAATCTTTTGAGGATTTTGTTAATTTTCTTTTAAATTTTTATTCTTCAATTCAATTGAATGATCAAAAATGATTTATTTCAATTTAAAACACAAAATTTAATTATAAAATTTACAATATTTTAGTTTTGTTTATAATAATAAGTATATAAATAGTATTTATTGTATTTCATATTTGTATAAAATTATTAAATATTATGATTTCTCAATATTTTTTTGTTTTTGCATTTTTTAATGTTTGTTTTCTTGTAAATTCAGTTATATTATACAAAATCAATATAATTTTTTTAAAGTGTTTATTTCATTTTCTTAATTTTTTTTAATTTTTGTATTTTGTGATAATAAAAATTTATTTTTTATAAAATTTATATGTATACATTTTTCCATATAAGTTTTGTATATAAGTTTTTTATTTTTTTTCTTATATTTTGAAATGTTGCCATTCAATGTTGCAACCCTAATTATTCGTTTATTTATTTTTATTATATTTTATATGTATATAAAATTTTTTAATTGATTATTTAATTTTCTGTCAATTTCTTTGCTTCCTTAATAATTTTCCAGTTCTTTCAATTTCAAATAAAAAATGTAAATTAAAACTAAAAAAAAAAATATTTTCGATTAAAAACCGTGTCGTATCTTTATAACCGCATAAGTGTAGTAAAAAGAAAAAAAAATTTAATGATAAAATAGAGAGAGGTAGAGAGTGAGAGAGAAATATAGAAATATAAAATGTCAAAGAATTTAATTAAAAAAAAACATATTATGTATGTATAAGCATGAAAAAATAAAATAAAAAATATTTCAATTTTATATTTAAAATTTGGATTCGATTTTTTTTAAATGTTTAGGGTATCTTCGGAATTTGATGTATGAGACCCATTGTATCATCTTTTGAAATGTCATAAAAAAAAAAAATTTGATGACGTGTTATGTTCAGAATTTATTTGATGTTGTGCCTGCGATATTGTCAACACTGAAATATCTGTCGTGTATTTTTAGTATGCGAAATTTTCTAATATTTATTAATTTTAACACAATTTCAATTTGAAATGCTAAGAAACGTTTTATGTCAAAATTAAATAATATAATGCGTCAAAATTTTTAAGTTCTAAAATGTCAAATTAACTGTTCAAAAAAAAATATGCAAATTTATCATTCTATTTTTTGCGATTTTGACAAAGTCGTCTAACTTTTATTTGATAATTCCGAAGAAACCCTTAATTTCTAAATTCCAGTTTTCAAAACCTATATATAACACAAGCGAAATTTTAAGGAGAATTTGTTTTATTTTATTTGACATGATGTGAAAACATTTACAAAAAGTGATTTTCAATTTCATTTTTTCTTATTTTGTTTTATTAAATTAAATTTAAAAGAAAAAAAAAAGACTTATTATAAAACTTAATGTGCTCTATTTATAAGAATATTTAATAAATATAATTGTTTATACATATATATGATCAATATTTTTAAATATTTTATATATAATTTGAAAGAAAGAAATTTTTAGCTTGGTAAAAGATATTATAAATTATAAAAAATTAATAAAATAAAAGAAATCAAAAGTTATAAGAAACTTAATTATGTAATTTGAGAAAATTAATTTTTAGAAAATAATTAATTTATTTTGAAAAAAAATTGTGTTTAACAATTAAAAACAAAATAAAACATAAAAATGAAAAAAAAAAATTATTTCAGTAAATATTCGATAAAAGAAAAGAAAAGAAATGTCAAATAAAGCTGCTGCATAGAAAAATATTATGTAATAATAGTTGTTTTAAGAATTTTGAAAACAAGATATTATAAAAAGAGATAAAAATTCCTGTTAAAAATTATTGTATATATATATATATTCATTTTTTAAGATTTTGCACATTTTACAACATTAAAACCTATTATTATTATTGATTTATAATTTCAAATTAACACATTGATTAATAATTTAATTATAATGAAAAATTAATGACATTTAAAAATAAAAAAATTGTTTCTTGTATTCGGTTTAATTTTGAATATTATTTAAAACATATATATGTATGTATTGAAAATATTTTATTTAAAAAAAATCTTAAATAATTAAATTAAATTTTTTTCTTTTAAATATTTATTTGATCTTTTTTAATATACTTATTAAAATATTATTGTTACGACATATTTGTTACGACAATCAATGTGTTAATTAAAATTTTTTTGCTCCGTTTAACATTAAGCATGCCACAATTAAAAGAAAAAAAAATTAAAACGATATTTAATTGAT